CACTCAAATTGACTTAGCCTTTAGCCTTTTGGAGCCTCTTGGCTAGTCCAATATGTTATTCCTACGGAGTCATGATCCATACGTTAAGTCAGAGGCATAGAAAGCGGACTGCTCATAGCAAGAACAACGAAGAGATACGAAACCTGAAAAGCATCGGCAGAAAGAATATAAGTCGATTGATATGATGTCTCTATAAACCCCATACACCCCAGGCAACGAACAAGTCTACAGCCTACAATCTAGACTCCATCCGGGATTGAAGAATATACCTCACTTTCAAACCCACTGCGTCCTTGCCATAAGGCTCGGAGTGAGTCTGCAAGCGAGACAGAACGATCCAGCTTCCCAGAAAGTCCTGCAATTCTCTCTACGCCGTTCGTTTACCTCGCCAACCATAGAGTCCGTCCGAAAGGAGCGGGATTGATGAGGAGATAATCTGGCGGTACTTGCAGTCCAAGTAAAAGATTGGAAACGGAAGCAAAGAAAAGTGTCGCTACGAAATCGAACCGCAGAAATCACCGAACGAACCGATTGAACACGAAACGAAAGGGTCGTTGAGATTGCACTGTAGCATTCGACGGAAGATCCTATATGCACAGGGAATGTGAGGAAGAACGCCAGCCTCGCAGAAAACTGCGAGTACCAACTCCGGATGGAAGAAAAAGGAAATTTTTCATTTTTCATTCATCGCAATGCACCTGGTTTCAGAAAAAGGTATATCCTGATGATTGCAGGTTGGACCTCCTTTTTTCGGAGTCCTTTAATGCACCCGCGCCGTCAAACCGCCATTGCAACATGAACCTAAACCCCACACATAAATCCCTTAAGCCGACTTGCTCTTGACAGCCTCACGACCCTTGGCGGAGCGAGCGAGGATCTCCTCACGGTCCTTGTCGAGGTGGAGCTTGGTGATGACAACGTTGGAGGCGGCGATACCGAGGGGAACGCTCTGGCCGTTGCTCTTGTCGCGGACAACGCGCTCAACGTGGATAACCCACTTGAGACGGTAGACGGAGGTGATCTTGCCCTCACGGCCCTTGTTGGAGCCACGGACGATGGTGACCTCGTCGTCCTTGCGGATGGGGATGGAGCGGACCTATCGCAGGATACTAGTTAGAATCGTCCCTGATCATGCGGGTGTCCCATATCTGTTTCCACTCTTGAAAACCCTGACTGGCCAGACCCGGATATGGAATATGGAAATATGGAAAAGGTGTTTGGTGTGTACGTACTCCGTACTTCTCGCGGAGCTCCTTGGACAGACTGGCGCTCATAATGCGGCGGCGCTCGCTGGAGGGGGCCTGGAAGTGCGCCTTGCGGGACTTGCTCCGCGAAGAGGCGAGGGCTGCAAAAAACCGTCAGTATGAGATTGGCGAAATTCGAGTTGGCGAAAGAAAGGCGAAACGGTACGCACCTTGGTTGCGAACAGTCATCTTGACGGAGCCTCCTTAAGGTGTCGTGTATGGGCTCAAGTGCACGGGTTGTCGTTGGTCGGGGAGAAGTGAATCTTTTGTGGTGGCCGAATATTGGATGTGGGTTGTGCGTCACATGATGTGCCGCTTAGGCTAGGGCTGGAAGTTGAACTGTGATTGGTGGGGGATATGGGCCCACTTTAACGCGCTTTTGCGACGGTCTTGGCTTGCCGCGGTGTGTTTGGGATTGCAGACGACAGCAGACTTCGGCTTGAATTGGCTGCTGGTCTGGCATGAGCGGGAGTTCTTACTCATACGTTTGCTCCTCCCATTGCCACCACATGCGATCCAGCCCTTCCGATGCGCGTCGAATCCGGATCAATCCTCTCTCGAACCTCGGCGATGTGATACTAGTGCTTGTACAGACTTGGACATGTCTACCGAAGACGTGGACGTAGTAGACTGGCCGCAGAACTTTTTTCGAGCGACAAGCTCCATGCCGACCAGATCAACCAAAACCAAGCTGCCTACCAGAACCAAGATGCCTCCGACCGAGGCGATTCTCATGGATATCAACATCCGGTCTTCCATCCGGCCTTCGACGATGCGGCTGCGCAAGCTGCGCAAGCTGCGCTTACGTACCGCCAATCGCAACTGCAGAAACCTGTTTCCTACATAAGGTCTTCAAACCCTGCAGCTGTATCGAGGCCAAGCGCGCAACCTCCAGTCGCCTCACAGCCTATCAACTCGAGCAACATCAACTGGCGTCACTACCAACATATGGGTCAACTGCAAAACCCGTGGACACTAACTCCACAGATCTCAGGCCCCGAGAGTCGCCAGCCGATTCCAAATAATCAGATTCGCGTTGCTCATATCCAACAACCGAGTCAGCAGCAATACTGGCCGGCAGCCACACTACAGAGCTCACGCTACGAGAGTCGTCAGTCGATCCTGATTAACCAGAATCGACCTAACCATTATCAACAGCAGAGTCAGCAGCAATATCAGCCGTTAATAACGCAACAGAGCTCAGGCCAGAATGCGGAGCACCAACCGACACCAAATAATCAGAACCGACCTGTCTATATCCAGAACAGTTCTCATGTCCAACCGCAGCCCCTGGACAACCACAATCGACCTCCTAATAATCAAAACAGGCCTCAGCCACGGTCGGCCATGTCAGAATTTTCCCCTTTACACCAAGCAACGGACTCTAATCACTTAATAAGTTCTTCAACCTCCGGGAATGCTCCAGGCCCAGTTGCTCGGTCGGCTCCAATGGTGTCACAACCAAGCACGGACAGCAACAAACGGACTTTTTATGCTTTGCCTGCTCCGCAGTATCATCAGCAGACTCAAAGTCCTCAGACTTCAGGCCAGAACGATACGGAGGTCCAGCCGCCTGCAAAGGTACGCCGTTTAGATAATGGGTCTGGCAATGTTGCGTCTCAGCAACCGGCACCAGTCAAGTCTTCGTCAAACCAGCATCTGTCAAAGGCGCCTATTGCACATAAACCTAGCCGCAAGGCAACCAAGTACCGTGAAGATCTAGTGAAGCCAATTCGCTTGTGTGATGCACTGGCTAAAGAATCATATAATCCCGCTACAATTGCGCGGGATATTCTTATCGCTTCGGGAAGACATCCTACAATGAAGGGATTGAATCATCACCTACGCGCATTGAAGGCCAATATTAGCCAAGTGGATTCCAATTCAGATCTTGCAACCTTTCGCTGGGACCTGGTGGACGTTGAACAGGATCCTAGCACTGTTCCTCCTGCAAGAACTGCCTCAGCAGGTTCTATTCCTCAACAGCAGCATATTCCTCCACCAGGGCCTATTTTTGCACCGAGACCGGTTTCTCGACCAAGCCCTGTTCCCCCACAGAATTCTGTTCCTCCATCGGGCTCTGTTCCTACGAGCAAATTTTCCCCAGCAGAGTTCATTTCCCAGAGATCTGTTCCTCCAGCGATTTCCGCTCCTCCACCTGGTGCTGTTCCTCCTGTGAGGGCCCCTTATCTGCTAGAGCCTACACAGAGATCTGTTTCCAACAGTTCTACCCCTACGCAGAGGCCTCTTCCAGGGCCAGGTGCTCCACGTGATTCCAATCCATCTCCACGTGATCACGATAATTCACCACACGTGCCTGCGATATCCGTACCACGTGACACACCGTCAACGCGTTCTGCCAGAATTGACGCGCGCACCCCTCCCGGCGGGTTAAGCTCTTGGGGAGCTTTACCCTTCCAACCCCCCACCTACCATTCTCCTAAACGTGCGACGGACCCCTCAGAGTTCCCCTCTGGTCTCCCTAGACTCGACCCTGTTCCCGCACCCCCTTCTTTCTCCGACCGAACAGCTCCTGTCTCACAATCGCCGCTGCCAACACAAACAACCAAGCCAGTGCAGCCTCCACCTACGCCCGCTGAACAGACCCCTAAGGTGACGCCCAGTTCAGGCAAAGGTCCGCGTGCCAACAAGCAGACTAAGGCGAAGTCCACCAACCCAGTCGCATCTAATCAACCAGCCCCCGTGGAGGTGGCTATTCAGGTGACACCCAAGGCCAAGTCTACGACTACGTTCCAGACTTCATCGAAGGCTACACCAAATTCGGTGACCACTTCAAGCCAGAATAACAATCCAAAACTTCCGCGCCCACAGGTTGTGATTCCGCCCTCGCCAGGTAAAATGCAACAAAAGAGAAAGCCCGGTCGACCTCCCAAGGCCAAGAGTGGATCGGCGATGATTGAGGTTGCGATTCCCCGCACACAACCCGTCAATTACCTAGTCTTCCACTGCCGGTGGAAGGACTGTGCCGCCGAACTTCACAACATGGACGCATTGCGATCCCACGTGTCCAAGGTGCATATCCCACACGACCTCCGTTGTCAGTGGAAAGACTGTGAGGATCAGGAACTACGACCTGCCCAGCGTCTATTTCAACACATGGCAGACACTCATTTTGCCAAAATGGCCTGGGAACTTGGAGACGGGCCAACAGTGCCGAAAACTGGTGATTCTGCAGAGGCTAGCATTAATGTAGCAGATCCGAGTGCGCGCAAAGGAACCATGGCGTTGCCAGTTGATGAGCACCAAGTAAAGGCTTTCAGCAACGCCCATGGAACTTCCACCGAGCGATTGAAGGCTCGTGATTTGTTTCGAGCGGGTCAACAGTGGAAACAGAGAACTGGACCGGCACTAGGACCGAGTGATAGCCCTTCCTCAACACCGGAACGGCAAGCCAACCTTGACTGTGATGAGGTATGCTACATCAGCATCGATTGACTCCCAAACTGAGATACCCTTGATTTTCATTTTCATTTTCGGGTGGGCATAGCATGGAGAGAAGCGTTGATTGAATCTGCATTGTAATGGCGTCTGATGATTTGCATGTTATCCTCCATGTTTGGTTACATGATTCCCAAATTTACTGAAGAAGCATTGAAGCCATGACATTGGCAATTGCCATTTGCTGGATAAATTGTAGTTGTAGTGTACAATTGGCTTGTGTCTGACTCGCTGGTAATGTAAAACAAATGTAGGCAATGCTATCTTGATTCCCCGTCTTCTCTTCAGAACAGCTATTCAATTTCTCCCTGACGCGGCTGCGGTGTCTGTGGACGCGAGTGGCGCAGAGTCCTCAGCCTTCTGGCTTACTGTGTCGGCGGTCTCCTCCTCGATGGCATTGACGTCGAGGAAGTGGTATAAAACGATCATCATCATGGCGCAGGAGCCAAGGAAGATGGCGAGGCGGTAGAGGTCGTCGTCGGAGATCATTGTGAAAGGAGGATTCGCAGTGGGGGCGAATGACAGGTCAAAAAGTAACGTTGATTGCGAGACCAATTGACAGTGGTCGAGAGACGAAGGATTGAGATGTAGTCGGAGAAGACACGTCGGCCAATAGTTCGGGTGACGCTACACAGTGATGCGGGTTCGGGGTTCAGGTCCCAGAGGCAAGCTTGCTCCCTTTTTTTGGTTGTCAATAAACCAATAGAGAGGGAATTTGGATTTAGAAGTGAGAAGAAGAGACAGGCAAAGAGAGAGGGAGAGACAGAAGAGAGGAAGGGAAGTTGATAAGATGGGGGAGACTGTATTGGTATGGTAAAGTACAAACATTAGAGAGTGTAATGTAATTATGTCTCGTAACAGCCGACTGGGGATCCCTGCCAAGTCATGACAAAGATCCCCGCTGCGTTTGATCTCAACGGTCTCTTAATCTCTCTCTCTTGTCTTACTCTCCCTCTCTTTCATCCTCTTCCTCTCTACCTCTTCCTCTCTGCCTCTCTTCCCTTTTCCCTCCTTTTCTCTTTCTCTCCATTCCATGCTCCCACCATGACTGAACAGAATTCTGGGAAACCAAATGGTCCCTCACCGTTGGCGTGTTTACCGTGCCGCCACAAACATCTCAAGTGCGATGGCAAAGTCCCCACTTGCGGCCGTTGCGAAGTCAATGGACAGCCTTACCAGTGCGAGTACACCAAATCTCGAAGAGGTTACAAGGGCCCATCCAAAAAGCGGCGCGCCAATCCAGAATCCCCCGAGCAGTTACCGATGGATCCCGGCATGATCAATGCCGCGGATTGGAGGAACATGCAGGCCGGCTATGGCTATGCGCCAGCCGTTCCGTTCCTCTCGTCGGGATCAAACAGTCCCGGGTTTCAGGATCTCTCGATGTCAATGCCTCAACCTGCTCGCCCAGTTAGCGGACCGTTAACTCCGGATTCCTCCTCATCCGTTGCTAGTAGCGATGCCTACTTGATCGATATATATTATAATTATTTCCACGCCGCGCATCCAATCCTGCCACCCCATCGGTATCTTAATCGCATCTACCTCCCCGTATATCTGGAACAGGTGATGAAATTCGTGGGCTCCCACTTCACCTCGGCGGCCTCCAGCGAGACATACCGCCAAACAGTGGTTGCAGTGGTGCGAGAGCAGGACCCCTCTGTGGAAAAGGTCCAAGCACTGCTCCTGCTGGCAATTGTACTGCACTCGCGCAACGAGCGTTCTGAGGCTGGCGAGTGTCTATCCGCCGCAGTGGACCTGGCATTCGAACTTGGCATGCACCAGCAAACTTTCGCAGTAATTGCCAGCAACGGGGACCCAATTCGGGCCGAGTCTCTGCGACGTACCTGGTGGGACCTGTTTGTCATCGAAGGTCTCCTGACTGCCCTTGGCGTGCAAAGTGAGTTCCGGACCAATGCAGTTCCGCTCGAAGTACCACTTCCCTGCGAGGAGCGCATCTACCAAGATTGTCTCTTTCCTCCGCCGTCACCTACCATTGAGCAATTCGATCAGCGTGTATTTGCAGATGAGGAGCTACATTTCTCCTCATACTGCTACCGAATTGAAGCCATACGGATTCTTGGTCGCGTGGTGGCGATGCAGAGCATGACCGAGGGTCAACAGGATCATGTAGAAGCCATTGATGCGCGTATTGGTAGCTGGGGTCACCACTTGCCAGAGTCCAAGGAAGAGCTCTTGCGCCCGGACGGCACGGTGGACGAGATCATGTTCCAGGCGACCATGATCTTAAACGGCGCATCCATCTACCTGAACTTCCCCCGATCTGACCTTCTCTCATCGCCCGCCGTTGCCGCAGCGGTCATCTGTGGTAGTTCTGGACCCATCAGTGTACCCGCATTCTCCCACAACGAGCATGCCATGAAGGCAGCCAAGGCAGCTCGAGAGTTATCTCGGCTTGCCTCATTCCGTCTACCGGTCATCAAGCACACCCCGTTCTTCATCTGTGCCCTCACGCTCAGTTCCATCGTTCAGTTGGCCGCTTGCTCCGTCAAGGCTGGCCAGATGCCCGACCCCAGCCGCGACCGTCTCACGTTGACAATCGGCGTGTTCAAATCGCTGGCTCGCACTTGGGCCATCTCGCAGTCGATCATGCGGCAGATCAAAGCCGTTTCGCGGGATGTCATGGAGATGGGTCTCCGTCCGACGATGGCGATGGACTCGCTTTATCTGACCACGATGCTGGATAATAGTCAATTTTGGGTTGATCAGGGCCCGAGCTGAGGAAGTGAAGATAGTCACCCATCTTGATCTTCTGGTCCACGTTTCGCTGTCCCAGACCTCCAGTTCCACAGCCTGGTGTAGAATTGGCACCCACCGAGATCATCGGTGCTTACTGGGCCTTGTGGCATTTGATATGCTCTCAGGCTGCGGCTGGAGTGTTTCCCCCACTGACCCCTCCCTGCGGGCCCTGGTCCCCACAAGATGGGGCCCAATTGGTATAGATCTGACTCCGGCGCTGACCGGGATGTTGCTGGCAAAGCGCATGCATAGTCTGGGCATGCAGTGCCGCTCACATCTACTGGATCACACGGCATCGGTCTCCTGGGAGCTTTCATTGGATGATCCGACAGATATGGCGAATATAATACTAATCATGAAACTAATCATGAACCTACTCATTGAATACCTCGTACTGCAGCTCGGCTTAATTTTCTAACCTACATATTGGCTTGGCAGTCTAGACTTAGGGCTATAGACATGTCCACATGCAATGTAGATACAGTTGCCTGTCTATACCTCTGGCTTACTGGCTTTAGGGCGATAGAGAGTAACAAGTCAATATAGGATTATACAGACTTCGAAACATTTCACAATTGGGATGCATCAATCCTATTTCTGCTGATTGAAATGACGAAGAAACTTCAACCGCCCAATAGCATGTATAAGATCATCATCGGTATTGATCGCCTTATTCTCCGGTCCACCAGGCATAAGAGCCATCAACTCCTTTGCCTCTCTCAACTCCGAGTCTAGTATCTCCTTAATCTTGTATTCCGCATGTGGAATCTCATGGGAAGTGAGGGTTTCTAGATCAAAGAACAATGGTTAATTCACATTGATTCCGTAGTGAACACTGCGGGCGTGGTATGGTCTTACGATCTAGTTTGGTGAGGTGCTCGTTGGCGTCCACGATTGCAGCCCATAAAGCGCAAACTTCAGCCATGTTTCCGAATGTCTCGTTGCGGACCCAGCCTAGGAAGCTATTGAGAATGTTTGATCCTGGGTGCTATTAGCCTTTATTGTGAGCTGAATGCCGGAAGAACCTATACCTCTTTCGCCTGACGAGACTTGGAATACAGCGGGGATTTCATTTATAGCGCGTTGGTAGTTCATTTTGTTGGTTAGGAAAGGCAGAAATGCTATAAAGAAGAAGAAGAAGAAGAAGATAAGCCTGCTAAATGGCCGAGAATGTCAATGTCTATAAGCCTTTGGCTTCTTAAGAAAAAAGAAGTCAGGAGATATCAAGCACGTACGGTAATTTTAGAGAAACTAACGTTACTGGAGCGAACAAAGCGCCAGGGAGTCTATACAAAGTCTATTCCAGGAACAAAGAACTCGTGTCCGAACAGGTTAGATAACCAACCCAATAGTCAAAGTGCTGTTAAGTTTGAAGAGCCCTGGTAATCCAACACGAGAACAAAGAAATCACACCAATGTGGTTGGTTGGATCGGGGAACAAAGAGACAGAACCGAGCCCCGTCTCGAATCAAGTCAGGCTAGACCGCGAAGAAGGAAAAAAGAAAAGGAAACTTGTAATATCAAGGCTAATTCATTATATGACCCTTGTCTACACTTTGTTCATCCGGTCTTTCTTCCACGATCGGCCTACGATCACACTAGATAACTGCGTCTTCCCCGAGATTAGAGATCTTTTGCAATGTCTCTACTCAGCGAGAAGTCTCCAAAGTTCGTGGACTACATGGAGAATGTCCCAGCGCCATATCATCATGCACAGATGGCATATAGCAGAGATGGTAGGCACAGAGCCCCGATCACCACCTCACACCTCATATTAACAAGCCGCAGGTCTATCCTGTGCAATGATAGCCTGGATACTAGACATCGACACGCGAGCAACAACAAAGAAGCGCGAATTCCAACGCACCTTTCAAAAACTTTGCCTATATATCAAACACCTGGAGGGTGAGACTATCATCTATCCAACCACATCTTACAAAGAAGAACCTAACACTAGTTAGGAATCATGAAAGCCAACAAGATCAGATACACCCCATATATCGCCGACGAAGCCGTCCGAAACATCAACCGTGCCAGACAAAACTTCGGATCTCTGGTCAAGGCCAAATTTATGGATAATGCGCCGTTCCCTATCACCGCGCCTATTGATAACGAGACCGAGCTGAACAATACCGTTCCCGATGCGCAGACGTTCGAACATAGACTTCATCAATTGGAGTTGTTGCGGTATATGGAGAGGTTTGACTCGGAGGCTTTGAAGGAAGTTGAGCGGACGAAGAAGGGGAGTAAATCTCGAACTAGGTAGGGGATTGGTTTCGAGTGTGTTAGCAGTTGTGATATTATCGAGCTTTTATTTTGCCATGGTTCCTATTTTTGTGTTTCTGTGATGTTTTCATGCTTCTATATGAACAATCGCTCGTCGGAGCAAATTGGGTGGAACAATTCAATCTGATTTGGAGTTTGTGATATGAGAAATAACTTACAGATTTATAATTCTATCGAAAATTCACTGACATTCCAAATGTACAACACATGCAGACATGCAGATATGCAGCTAAAAGTTGGTGGTTCGTGTCGAGGTCAGTTCGCAAGTCTATCCCCGGAAGGGAAATCTGCTCGGCCATCTCTCCGAGCACTTCGGCTTCCATGCGCCAATTGTTAATTCGCATATGGTAATTGAGTTGGAAATTTCACACACAAACCATGAACTGCTCCATATTCTGATTTCAATCGCATATCTCGCGTACCTCGCTGATAGCCGACTATACCATCGGAGACACTCCGTATAGATCGGTGGAGGACAGCCAACTAAACAAGGCAGATCCTGTACTGATTGCCGATCCAACTGTCGCCCTGTCAGGCTGCTGTCAGATTAAAACTTCTCACCATCGCACATATCTGTGCCTTATATTTCGCATCCCATGTCCACGATATCAATATCATCATGGAGCCAGCGACGGAAGTCAGCATAGCTGAAAAGTCAGCAGCTGGCTTAGCTGTCAACCTTATCTCCATCCCAGACGGCATCTCCACTGGAACAAGCCATCCATCCAACCTGGTAACCTGGGATGATCCCAATGACACCGAGAACCCGCAGAACTGGTCGCGGTCGACAAAGCTCCTCAGGTCCGCAGCACCCCTAGCCGTGATCTTCTCAATAGCCTTCGCATCCAGCATCTTCGGCTCCTCATCAAGCATAACAGCCAAAGAATACGGCGTATCGGAAGAAGTAATGAGCCTCGGCGTAGCCCTCTTCGTCGCAGGCTTCGCCGTCGGCCCACTCATCTTCGCGCCCATGGCAGAAGTAGTAGGCAACGCACCTCCAATGGCCATCGCCCTAGCCGGCTGCGCCATCTTCCAAATCCCACTCGCCCTAGCTCAAGGCGTTGCCACAATCCTCGTCAGCCGCTTCCTAGCAGGAACGTTCGGCGCCGGCGGGCTAGCAGTGGGATCAGGCATCCTGGCCGATATCTACGGCCCGATCACACGAGGCGTGGCAGTCGGCATGTCGGCTACCATCATGAACCTGGGCAGCATCATCGGCCCAATCGTAGGCGCATACATAGTCGAGCGATATGGCTGGCGCTGGACAGCATGGACAACACTCATCCTCTGCAGCGCAGTCGGCATATTGTGCCTAATCCTGCTACGCGAATCATCCCATAACCGCATCCTGATGCGACGCGCCGCCCGTCTTCGCCACGAAACAGGCAATGAAAAGCTGCGAGCGCAAGCCGAGATGGCATCTCTAGACCCGAAAGTCCTGCTGCGGAAGTACTGCACGAAACCAGTGCGGATGTTCATCCAGGAACCAATCCTGATCGTCATGACCACCTACTTGACACTGGTATATGGATCGCTATACCTATCCTACCAGCTATTCCCACGGCAATTCCAAGGCCGAGGCTGGAGCAAGCCCGCCGCCACGCTGCCATTTATAGCCGTTGGTCTAGGCGTACTTACGGCGCTGGGACTTTTCTCGACGTTCACGATGACATGGTATAAACGGCGGTGGATGGCTGCGCAGAAAGGCTCAGGTGAATCTGAATCTCTCACGCCTGCTCGTGTTGCTCCGGAGGGTAGACTGCCGCCTATGGTGTTTGGGGCTGTTTTGCTGCCACCGGCTTTGTTGTGGTTTGGGTGGACGGAGGACACACATTGGATTGCACAGGTGATTGCGTGCTATGCGATTGGGTTGGCGCTGCAGATTATCTTTATTAGTGGTATTGTGTATATCGTTGACGTGTACCCGCTCAACACTGTGTCTGCTATTAGCATTCATGTTATGGTGCGGAGTCTGGTGTCGGCTACGTTTCCACTGTTCGAGGGGCCGATGTATGAGACGCTGCATATAAACTGGTCCGCGACATTGTTGGCTGGATTGTCGGCTATCATCATGGTGTCTCCGACCTTGTTGATCATTTTTGGGTCTCGCATTCGAAGTTGGAGTCGGTTTTCTGTCGGGGATATATAGAACATAGACAATAATGCATAGAACTTGGAAAACGGGGAAAGAATTGCAAAGTTTCATTCAAAGAAGTCTAATGTGCTGCCTCCCAAGTGTAAAATCCAGGGGGTATCTTGAATGCGGGTGTGATGTATGAGATGGGCAAAGGGGGATATCGCAGGCTATGTCAACATGTGTTAAAAAGAGAAAATGAGCGCCAACAATGAAACAGAAAGCCAAAACTCCTTGCCTTATGCTCAAGTCGTATCGGCATTGCGTCAATCTAGAAGGAAATGAAGGAAAAGGTCATAAGACCATCAAATAACAAAGAAATGGATCAAACAAAGGAATTTAATTGCTGCCGCCACTGCTCAATTCCCGCATTTCCTGCAGGGCAACAGCTCGGCGCGCAACAACGTCTTCTCGGCGGACCACATTGCGCAGTGCTTCACTGGCCTGGATCAGGCCATCGATGCTGATCGCGTGGTTGGTCATCTGGTGATTGATGTACGTGTATAGAGCAGCGGGCGTCGAGCAAGTCGTTAACAATTGCTGCTCGTTGAGTTTAAGCAGCGCGAGTGCAACTTGGAAAAGGAATGTGCTTCCACCCCCGCTGCCGGAGGCGATATCTTCGGCTACCTTGGGGGTCTTGTCATTGCTTTCCTTCGTATTGGTAGTGGGTCCGGAGCCGTTGACAGCGCTGGTCACGTTGAGACATAGGACAACATCCCATACGCGATAGAGCGCCTCCGCGGAGAGACAGTCTGTAAAGACTGAAAGGAACCATTGGAAGGTGAGCGCCTCTAGTTCAATTCCCAGTTCCTCCAGGTGAGCTGAAAGCCTGGGAAGTAGCTCCGAAATGTACTGCCGCAAGACAACCTGGTCGGCCCGAGAGGCCAGCAATCCATGATCATAGTAGTGTTGGGGGAGTATAATTTCGATCATTGAAGTCAGAATCCAGAATGCATCTTCAGCAGTCGGCATGATGAGCAGTAGTGACCCAGCTATGAGGTTCATGCCCTGACAGTAGCCGACTTCAGGGTTACGACGCGAGTATGCAAGTAACACCTCTTTAAGTTTGCCGACACCAGGACCCTTGCGGAAAAAGACATTGTCGGTAAGAGTGCGACGGATGTCCATGTCGATCTGTGATACAACAGATGGATCAGGCTCCGACCCACCAACACTATGGACAAGGTCATCATAGTACCCGGGGATTCGCATGGCAGAAGCGCCACTGCATTCTGACCAAGTTTTGGCACGAAGAGCGACTGGGATACCGCCGAGTACAAGCAGCCGGAACTCGCGCCACTTTGCTCGACCAACCTTGCCCTTGTTGCCCAGACCGGCGATGCCCACAACCTCGCCATCTGCAAGTGAGGCCTCTGGCGTATCAACTGCAGCTACAGACCGGTCGGTTGCTGCAGCGGCTGCAGCTTCGCCTTCTTTTCGGCGTTCTGCGCGCACCTTGCGGAGAAATTCGTTCCATCGCACGGTTCGGTCGCGCTGCAGTGTATCGTGGAGCTCTGTCAGTTGTTCTAGCAACAGCTTCACTGGTTCAGTCTCCGCAATTGAGATCTTGGCAGCCATGTCATTTGCTTGGTCGGATGATAGGCCCGCGAACTCGGGGCTGTCAGCTGTGATGGCCGATGTCGAAGCTGATGGCTGTCCGACAGAGCCAACAGACAACGCCCCGTCTTTGTCAACAGAGACAGACGAGCTGTGAGGACGATTCTCTCCCGCGGTAGTCAAGGAGATAATTGGTCCGGCAGAGGGCGTATGGGACAGAAGTTCTGTAGGGCGGGATGGAATCTTCAAATAGTCCTGCCAACGGCGGATGGAAATCGCTCCACTTTCAGGGTCGTCCGGCGAGACAGGAGAAGAGGGAGTTGTTTCAGGGGCTGTCTGCGCAAGACTTCGGACATCAGGGTCGTCTTCCGGATCCGAAACATCACTGCGTAGGGTACCAAGAGTCTCGCTAATGCTCAAAGGGTGATTGCTGCTCTTGGACGCATTGGCTTCCCTTTGACGCTTCTTTCGACGTTGATCATAGATGAACCCAAAGCGGTCTGTAAGAAATTCACCCGGCTGAGAGTTGTTGTAAATAGGTGTGAGTGTGGGAGGCTTCGACTCCATGGGCAAGATGGCATCCATCTCGACAGGTCCGAGATTGGTAGAGCTTCGGTCTGTAGTCTCAGTTGCTGCACCCTGTGACACGCTGCCTGCTGGGTTCCATCGCGAGGCAGGAGAGCCCATTTTGCCTTGGACACTCATTCCACTGGCAGAGCGTACAGAAGGCATACTGGCATTGCTATTTATTCTTTTCAATGCAGCTACTGCCGACATTCCGCCTTTGCCCGAAAGAGTAGACGAAGCGCTTCGATCTCCGCCCGGAACTTTGGATAATGGCTTGTTTTGATTGGCCTCGGAATCACTTGTATCCTTGCTTGCCTGATTGCCAGCGAATAGCTTGACAGTCCACGAGCCGATTGACCTCGAGGATTTGCGCGAGTGAGTGCTTGCATCGTCCCCGTTCACTGACGGGCTGGCGATCCGCTTTGCTGATCCACCAATCCGTGTTAGAGCATCGGGTGGTTGGAAAAGCTGCTCATCAAGAGCTTTGCGCCGCGAGGGATTGTTGGGCACTCGAAGGCGCTCAGTCTCTTCATCCTCATGTTCCCCGACATCACTCATGATACTGCTAGCACGACTCGTTTTGCGACTGGTATTAGTCGAGCCGAAGATGTACTCTTGCCAACCGCGAATCGAGCTCTGGCGCTTCCGGTTGGCCTCGTTGCCATCACTACCGCGGCCATCAGCTTCCGCTCGCTGGGCCCGGATTGTAGCTTGGAGATCAGACTGAACGTCTGTAGGTCGTGAACCCACAGTATCCTCCATAGCTTGTGACATCAGCCCATTCAACCCGGAAGAGGCCTGGCCAGCGTGATCACTATTGTGACTGCTTTCCCCATCAGAGACACGGTCACCAGGAGGATTTTCCAATTGATACAACCGACGCTCAATATCCTGATTGCTAACAGAAACCTCCCGGAGCATTCTCTTCAGCTCTCGCTCCCTTGCATCTGCACGTTGGCGGAGAGCCGAGATCTCGGCATCCCGTTGAGCCAGGTCGCGCGCAAACTGTCTCACCATCTTCACGGCCCCTGTACTGGCAACCAGACGCTCAATATGCGCATCATCGGCCAAATGCAGGGCGCCTGGGATATCCTGAGTCAGGACGGAATCGGCGAATAGGGCCGACCGGCCAGACTTGTGAGAGTCTCCAGTTGTAAGCTTCGCCAATGTCGCCTTCCGCCCCCGCCCACTTCTACTTATCTCTTCTCCGTCTTCGCCAGATAATAAAGTATTTGTCAAGCCACGGCTGAGGGTGGTGGCTTTGTCGGGTGGTGAAAGGGATGGAAACGAGGTTAGATCCGTGGTTGTGTTCGAGGAGCCGGAGTGGCGTTTCTGGGCTTTGGCGCGAACCGTCTTAGCATTTCGACTCCTGCTTGAGGCGCTCGAGGCTTGGGATGACGACCGCCGCTGGGGGTGGTCGGACTCTGCCATGACTCAACGACCGGGCAATGGCGTGGACGGAGAAATCGTTGGATAATGACTTCATGAAGGCTTTCCGCAGGCTTGCTAAAGGGTGGATTCGGGTGTTCGAGCTAAAATAGATAGTCGACTAGCTGCTGATAATTTGGCACTTCCCTGTCGCGCGTCCTTGGCGATCCCTTGAGATCGGTGGATCGGTGGAATGAAGGGAGATCGACGCGGGCTGAATGGAGCATAAATTTCAACACTGGAATCCCTGGAATGCAAGCTGGCCAAAGGTGCACAAAGAGTTGCTATTTTTGCTCTCTTTGAAACACAAAGCTGTTGATGGCCTGGGCACATGACGTTGTTAGTCATGTGACCAATGCTTGGTTCCACGTGACCTTCTGCCTCGGCTCTCCGCATAGCCGACGCAGTGGGGAAGCTGAGCTCGTATAAGTTACAAGTTAGCTACTTTACTTCTTTGCATTTAATTTGATTATAGCATTCTCTATTCTCTATTCAATTGCCTTCAGTATCGCAACATAAACACCATGTCTGCTGCAGCAAAGCAACGTCTCCAAGCCCTCAGCAAACAGCTTGTCGAGGGCATTCCCTTCGAGGGTACATTCGAGGACATCCCCAAGATTCGCCATATTGCTGGTGATTCAGCAGGACCGTAAGTAGTCTGAATGTATAGTTAAGTTGTGTCTTTAGCCAGTCTACCGCATTATCTTGTTTAATTCATCTCTATTTTAACTATAGCTTACACTTATACTTGCAGCCGGACAAAGGACAAGGTGGTTATTGTGACTGGTAAGCTTCATTTGTGTCATTCTACAATATATACGCTAATGAAATGTAGGTGCCAACTCACCCAACGGCATTGGCCGGGCCAGCGCACACCAATTCGCCAACAATGGCGCCAAAGCAGTCTATATCTGCGATTACAGCGACACCCACCTGGCAACTCACAAACGGGAAATGGAGTCCCTCTACCCAAAAGTTGACATCCACGTACGATCATTTGATGCCGCAGACGAAAAGGCCCTGATAGCAGTCATCGACGAAGCAGTAGCAAAGTACGGCCGACTGGATATCTTCTTTGCCAATGCAGGCATCGTCGGCCAGCCCAAGGTCTTTACCGAGATCGACGGCGACGGATTTATGAACACCATGCGTACAAACGCACTCGGGTACATCCTCCCCAATACATCATAAAAAGTAAAATCCAAACTAACCCCCTTCCAGCGTCTTCCTAGCAGCCAAGCACGCAGCCCCAGCAATGAAACTAACATCCGCCACAAAATCCTACCCAAGCGGCTCAATTATTGGCACAGCCTCAGTAGCAGGCCTCCGCTCAAACGCCGGCTCAACAGATTACTCCGCCTCAAAAGCAGCAGTAGTCTCAATCGCCCAAACAGTCTCGTACCAACTCGCCGGCACGGGAATCCGCATTAACGCCATCTGCCCGGGATTGATCGAGACAGGCATGACGCAGACAGTATTTGATCGGGCGCGGGAACGCGGCACTGAGCGTAAGATTGGACAGTTGAATCCTATGCAGCGGGGTGCTGTTGCTGACGAGGTTGCGCGTGTTGCTCTATTCCTTGGGTCTGATGAGGCTTCTTATGTTAATGGGCAGGCTTGGGCTGTTTGTGGCGGGTTGAGTGCTGGACATCCAGTTGTTCCTGGGAAGCTTGCATAGGTATTGAATGTGTAATCAAGCCACTGTGGATCTCTACATCTTCACTTTTTCTCTAGGGAGTACTTAAGGAATTAGAGCCCCGTCTTCCTTGTCTTTCCACGCTTCAAGTATTTCCTCCACCATGGACCCCTTCGCTCAACTGCCCCCAGAACTGACCAACAAATCCTCATTCATACCGCGCATTTTGCCGCTGTAGAAGATCTCATATCCTCTCAAGTCCACTATGTCTCCGGGGCTCGACCCGCCATTATACATGACCTCATCCTTGCAAATTCTATCTTCAATAGAATTTCGGCCCTACGCTCAGTGAGATACCAGTCGACTCACTGAGCGGACCCGAGCGTACCTGAGCGAGCAGAAAAAGCGCCCAAACCCTTTTCATGGATTGAAGAATACCGCAGTACTAGTCCCTCTTTCATCTCCAACATTTTTCAGCTCTTCGCAAAGCTGCAACGAAAAGCTGGCATTGGCCCACACAGTCAATACAGAATCTAGACACATATAACGTCTGGAATGAAATAAATATCCAAAAGGCTGAGCAGCTCTGGTCTCCGCCGCCCGTAACCGCCGGAAATAAGGCAACAATTGGCTCACAGACTGAGACTATCATGATATTCATCTTGAACCGCACGGGCATAGCCGAGCAATATACATGATATCTGTAGATCGAGGTTTATAGTAGACTAAGTAATCTAGTTGGATAAATGAAAAAAAGTTAAGTCCACAGAATCCATTTTCGAGTAACAGGGACCTATATAACCCTGTGAGACTATGAGATCAACCTAGATCAAGGACTGTGAACAAGGGAAAAGTGCACGACAATGGATACACAAAAAGGAAATCTCATCTGCAGACAGTAGGCAGATGGCGAGTGCAGAGTGGGTGGCTCTCTCGAGACACGAGATAAGCGAGACAAAGAAACAATAAAATAAAAAAAAGAAACAATCAAGCCGTTCCATCCCAGACGGCACGACTGATAAATAATAGACAGCAGATTCCCGGGTAAATAACCCACGAGAAAGACAAAAATGACCAGAATTATGGGACAAGAAGACAGAGAGATGGTCGGTGGATATAAGGGAGTATCAAAAGAAATCGACACGACGAAGGAAAGCAAGAAAAAAAGGAAAGCAAAATAGGGAAGAAGAGCTACGCCAGACAACCAGAGCGCAAGTGCGTATTCAGGATACAGCACAGTGAAGTAAGGAGTAAAAAAAAAAAAGGAAAAAGGAAATGGGCCACGCCAGGCAGAAGAAACAGGGAATGGACAGAGAAGAGAAAAGAAAGCCAAACACAAATAAGATCGTCTCAGTCAAGCCGTTGCATCATCTAAGCTTATACAGATAGCTGATGTTGAAACCTAGGAGATAATCCGAGCGGTGGTTGGCCGCATGAGATCCTCGCTTGCCTGCTTGGACAGAGTACCAGGCTCAGTCTGCTGGTCATCGACATTCTCAGTCTCATGGGCATGCTCGTCGTCATCCTCGACGATACGAGTGGGGATATCGCCGGGCCCGTACTGCTGACTTGAGCGCTCGGGGAAAGTCGAGCTGCTGATCATGGACATGGAGGTGCTGGAGCGGTTGTGGACCAGATCTGGGGTCGGGGGGATGCTGGAGTGTCGGTTATCCGGGTGGAGGGAGTTGTTGTCGATGTCGCTCATTTCACTGGTGGCGCGGGTGGAGCGGCCCTCCTGGGTATCGTAGTCGGAGCCGAGACGGTCGGAGGTCTGGATCTTGCCCTCGGACTCTTCGTCTTCGGCGTCCTGGGCCAGGTGAAGACCCTCAACGGCGGCAGCGCACTGGTCGCTGATGCTGCGGATGATGTCCGCAATGGCATCGGTCTTGTCGCGCAGGTAGCGGTCTGCGACATCTGTGATGCTCAAACGAGCAAGGGTCTTGTGATCCTTGCCGAGGTTCAGCAAATGCTGCTCTAGCGCAGGGTTCATGTCATTTACCGGAGATTTTTGACCATTGACCTCCTCAGCTGTCTTGACGTGCTCCTTGGACTTGGGGGTCTCCGCCTTGCGCTCCTCAGGAGCGTCTTCGTAGCCCTGCTCGACCATTTCAGTAATCTCAGAGGTGCTGCTGATGGAGCGGACGATGTGCTCCATGTGGTGGCTCTGGCCGTTGATGAGGCTGCGCAGGTGGAGAACCACGCGCTGGGCATCCTCACGCTCACGGGAGAGAGTCGAGTTAGTGTGAGTGAGGGCGGAGATCTCCTTCTGGTTGCGCTTGCGCTCACGTTCAAGTTCCTCGGCAATCTCCTGCTGGAGAACAAGGGCCTCGAGGGCGTCGTCACGCTGCTTCTCGGTACCAGACAGACGCAGAGTGAGACGAGCCACATCGTCCTTCTGTTGGTCGATGAGACCAGTGAGGCGACGGTTCTCACGCTTGTGGTTCTCGATCTTGACCTTCAGCTCGGTGGTTTCCTTAGTGAGCTGCTCGGCAAAGGCCTGGAACTTAAGGAATTGCTGCTTCCAGGTCTCGAGTTCCTCCACAAGGAAGTTGTTGCGCTTGGTAACCTTGCTGAGCTCGGTGTCCATTCGTCCCTTGAGGTTGATAAAGTCTTGCCAGGCCTCCATGGCGTCACGGGAGTACTGGTTGCGCTCGCGAACAATCTCGTTGAGGTGACGCATCGAGACCTTGGTCATCAGGGGCTTCTTGACGGAGCCACCGAAGATGGCCTTCATACCGGTGTTGCGGCCCTATAAAAAGTTAGTTTAAACTGCAGTTAGTCAAACATTGGAGAGCAAACATACCAGCTTCTCACACACATGATCCATGACACTCATGACCGCATCCTGGTTCCACCATTGGGGCTCCTGGATGCTCTCGACCTCGCCGCGCATGACGATAATCTGACCGGCGGGGATGAGCTTACCACCAGCATAGGCAGTGCGTAGATGAGTAGGCACACCAGAAGGCGATACATCACCGTTCAAGGACTGCGTCATGCGGTTGATGAACTTGGTGCGCTGGCCCTGGTTCAGCACATTGGGCGGGCTGGATGTCAGGACGAAGTTGCGGTCCAGATCGACAACGAGGGCGTCGGATGGGGCGTTGAACAGGGTACGACACTCGGCGGTGACACCCAGAATGTAAGGACCGGGCTCCTGGACAAGGTCCTTGACATGACGAGCGTGCACAACGGGAACGTACAGACCGCTCCACTCGTAGACGCGAACGCAGTAGCGAATGGTCTCGGCCGCCACGGTCAACATCGCCGGGTAGTGGGAGACGAAAATGATACGGCGAGTGGGTGAGACAGCAGCCTCGATGACTCCGACGATGTTGGGGATCGACAGACAGGTGAACAGGGGCCA